CACCCATGAGTTGCTGTTTACTCCCATGGAGACTGTCTCAGCTGGGGCTCCCACCCAGCGTGAGTCTCAGAGTTCCTCGTCTGTCTTCCCTGCTGTGGGTGCAACCCCAGGTGTTTTACCTGCAGTGCACAGTGAGGTCTTCCCAGCCACACCTTCTGTGCCCACCTCACAAGGGACCCTGCCTTCCTCCAGAGGAGCTGCCCAGGTCCTGGGGGATGGGGCACACAAGGACCCTGCCATGCCACTGCTCCCGGACAGCTGTGGTGCAGGGGCTGCCACAAATGAGGAGGAACAAGGTACCATGTTTGCTTTAGCAGATGAAAGAGGTCCTGAGAATAAATCTGATCAGGCTGTGGCCTTGGATAAGCATCAGCAGTCAGAGAGCAAAGAGCAGGGATCCTGCAGAGCTTCTCCTGAACAGGTAACAAGCTGAGCTCTTTGCCAGGGGTACTAAGCCAGGAGTTTTGTGGACAAATCCCCTTTCCCAGAGTCTTCTCTGACTTCAGGGGAAAGGCCTCTTTGCATGCTAGTCCTGCATGGATCGTGGCTCTCCAGCAACAGCATGCAGAGTGACTGCATGACAGTGACAGAGAGCACACAACACTTCTGCCTCGCTCTTGCAGGTGCTGAATGTCATTTCAAAGTTGAACTATCCTCCTCCTCCTTTACTTGTTTGTGCAGAAAAATGATGGAGCAGAACAGTTGACTCCAGTGCTGCCAGATGGCCCCAAAGAAGAGAACTTGCAGCTTGTGTCAGAGCTAAAGGTGGGGGAACAGCAGGGAATTGTTACTGCGGCAGCAGCAGCTTTGCAAGACCAAGTTTAACAAAAATGCAACTGATAATCATGTCTATCAGAGAAAAAACAGCCCTGGTTTGTTTTGGGCAGGATTCCTCAGGTTCCTGTGCCGTGGATGTGAGCACAGTGTGGTGGGAAGCAGCTGGCTGCAGGGAACTGCGTGTGGTCACTGCTTCCGAGAGCTCCGTGTCCCTGTGGGAACCTCTGGCACCCAACCACTGGGGAAAGGTCTGCACCTGGCAGCTGGGAGAGGTATGGACAATTTTCTTGCCCTATGTATTAGTTCCCAAGATACAAGGAGCTTGTAGCTTCTATGGTCACATGTTACCTACAGGAATTTGATACTCCATTCACAGAATGGTGGCTGCACTTCAGCCACTGCCTTGTGCTCTTTCCGCTTACAGTCCTTAGAGACACTTTTTACCTTTTATATTAATAGGGATTGTTTGATTAGGTAAACAGGCAGCAGACAGTTCAGCTGTTTGTCTAAGTGTGCTTCTTGAGAATGGTCTGAAAATCAGTTCTGCTCCACATCATTTTACTTGAAACAGTCTAGAAAATGAGAATAAAGTTAAAGGGACGCTGTGGGTGACACTGAATTGTTGTTTTGCTGTCCCAGATTCCTGTAATCCAGATTGTTCCTCTGCCAGACACCTGTAACCTCGTGTGTGTAGCGCTGGGAGAGCTGGAGATTGGAGAAATAAGGTTTTGTATTTGTTTATTACTAGCACTTTGCACCCTAAGTAGTTGCAGCTTAGCTCTCCTCACTACTATCTTAGTAGTGGCTGAAATTATCTTTTTGCTAATGTGTTACTTTCTCAGTTGCTTTAGCAATTGGAAAAGGTGCAAGGGATTTCTAAAAGTCAACTATAAGGACTGGTTCATTCACCCCAGAGCTAGCAGACTGAGTAAACATAGTCTCATTTGTATATGCTATGGCATGTTTGAGTGGTGCTTCTTCCTGTCGTGGTATGTGCTTGTCTCTTGATTTAGGACGTTGCTTTATTCTTCTGAGACTGACTTGTTCAGGCACTCCCTGGTGAAATCTGGGAATATAAAAGCAGTTGTTGGGCTAAAGGACCAGAGGCTAGTGAGCAGCAGCAGGACCCTGCAGGAGCAGCAAGTGGAGATGGTGTGGCTCTCAGGGACAGGAGGGTGAGTTTGGGGGTGCTGGTTCGTGGTGGTCTCTGTGGCAGGTGGGACAAAAGTGAGGAAACATCTTGGATGTAGAAAAAGTGGATTCCTATTCTTCCTGGAGTGGTGCTGAGCACTTGTTTTTTCAACTGCTTTTCTATGTGCTGATCTCCCTTCAGGAGCAAGGACAGGCAGACCCTGATGCCCCCTGAAGAAACTGTTACAGCCTTTGCTGAAGTAGAAGGGATGAGAGAGGCCTTGGTGGGCACCACTGCTGCCAACAGCATCGTGGTGTGGTCAGTGTCTCCTCTGCCATTACACGGTTTAGGGGGTGGGGGCTGTAGCAGGAAGCTGCAGGGTTGTGCAGTGTTGCTGGCTGGATGCTGAGCCACCCGGGAAGTGGTGGTTGTCAGAGGGCCTGCAGTGTGGCCCCACAGTCACATGGACAGGGAATGGACTGTGCTGCTGTAATTCCATTGCTTTTGCATCATTCTCATTACACCCTCCCTGTAGCCTCTTGGCTTGTTTGGCTAATGTGGAACCAAACCCGTGTCCATCCTGCGTAGTGGTGTAACTGTGATTAGAGGATGAAAATGTGTCAGAGTTTGTGTTTTCACCAACTGCAGGAATCTGAGAACAGGCCAGCTCCTGAGGAAGATGCACGTTGGTTATTCCTACCCAGCTTCCATCTGCCATCGAGCGTATTCCGACTCCGTACGTACATGGAATTCTCTTCATGCTTGGGCTACACTGACTGGGCTGGGGACATAAAGGATTGAGGTTTCTAGAGGATTGAAGGTAAATGCATAAATCCATTGAGTCACTGAGCTGTCACTCTGCTGTGTTGCATCAGCCCTTATCAGCCAGCAGCTGCTTTGGGTTTTATCTTATTTGATAAGGAAAGTAAACCATTTCTGTTTTCTTCAGTAAAAATAATGTATCACTGTCCATGGGGCTGTGATTAGAGAGAGACTGTAGCTGTTAATTTTTGGAAAATTCTTTGAGTTTTTCCCCTCCTGCTGTTGTTTTTAGTGATGTATTTTCCCTCTCTCTATCAGGGCCTTCTGTTTGTTGTTTTAAGCCATCCACATGCCAAAGAGAGCGAGTCCTGTGGAAACCCAGCATTCCGCGTGGTGGCCTTCAACCCCAGGACGGGCAGGAGCCGGGGGGTGATGTTCTCCTCCCCCCCACCCAGCCCTGCAGGGAGGCAAGTGCTGGGGGCTGGGGCTGGGCTGGCTCCTTCCAGGGGCTGTGGGAGGACCCAGCGAGTGGAGCTGGCAGGGATCCCGTTGCCATCTCCCCGGTGATAAGGGGCTGCATCCGGCGCTGCCGCGTGTCCGGTGCACGGCTGGGGGGCTGGGGGTGTGGAGGGGCCGCTTCCTGCCCGCTTCCCGCTGTGCCCTGACCCCCTGCCCTCAGCACTGAGACTGGGGGCCCGTGTCCCTGGGCTCCTCAGGCAAGCCCCTGGTGCTGCCTGCAGCAGTGGCACTCTGGGCTGCTGGGGAGCCCCGGGCCAGGTTGGTTTGTGTGGAGCAGTGCTGCAGGCAGATGGCCTTTTCCTGCCCGTGCCCTGTGTTTTGAGGCGCCAGCAGGCTCAGCCTCAGCTTTAAGGCTCAGCCTTGCAGTGTTCCTTGCACAGGAAATGTGATGGATGTATGGGAGTAGCAGTAGATCAAGATCTTGCTTACTGAACAGTCATGGAATCACAGAATGGTTTGGGTGGGAAGGGACATTAAAGATCGTCCAATTCCACCCCCTGCCATGGCAGGGACACCTTCCACTAGCCCAGGTTGCTCCAAGCCCTGTCCAGCCTGGCCTTGCACACTTCCAGGGATGGGGCTTTCTTTAAAGAGTTGTTTTTTAAGAGTCCCCTTTTTTAAGAGTTCACCTTTTTCAAGTATGTTCTGAGTCCCAAGGAGTATTTTCTTGACCTTCTCCCTTCGCAGTTGCGCTGGAGGCACAGCCCAGACCGTAGCCTGGCTGCAGTTGGGCGTTAATCTGTACCTGAACCCCAAGCCAAGGGAACAAACACTGCCCTGTGTGGTGTCTGTGTGGTGTCTTTGCAGACCCCTGCTGTGTGCTGACCCCCCCCCGTGTCCCTGCAGGTACCTGGAGGGCGATGTGTGGGGCACGGCGGGAGCGGCCGTGCTGACGTCGGGCGCCGTGGCCGTGTGGGACCTGCTGTGGGGCCGGTGCACGGCGGTGCTGCCCCCGGGCCCCGCGGGGCGCTGGGCACTGGCGCGCTGGGCCATGGCCGGGGCCGGGCTGCTGGCCGGGCAGCACGACGGCACCGTCCGCCTGTACCGGTACCGGCAGCCACAGCCGGGAGCCGCCTGACGGGGGGGCAGGACCCCATCACTGGAACCTCTGCTGCCGGGTGTGGGGGATACCATTAAACGTTGTTGCCTTTGGATGACTCCGTGTCTGCCACTGCCATACTGGGGGGCTGCTGGGGGGCAGCATGGCCACGGGCTGCTGGGGGGCTGTGGAGAAGGACCTGCTCTCCTGCTGTCCCAGACCAGCAGCGTGTCCTGAGAACCAAGAAGGCCGCTGGGGTCCTGGGGCATTGGGAAGAGCCTTCCCAGCAGATTAGGGAGGTGATTCTGTTCCTCTGCTCAGCCCTGGGGAGGCACATCTGCAGTGCTGTGTCCAGTTCTGGGCT